ACAGGCAGAGATCACAAGCAGGCAGAGAGGCAGGCGGGGGTGGAGGGGGCAGAATCCCCGCTGAGCAGAGAGCCCGATGCGAGGCTGGATCTCAGGACCGTGGGATCATGACCCGAGCCAAAGGCAGAGGCTTTAACCCACTGAGCCACCCTGGTGCCCCCGGCGTTTTATTTTTATGTTTTTGATGTAAGCTCCGCGAGGCGACCTGCGGTGCGTCACCGCTTTCAGACGGAGCGCGCGGCGGTCCGGCCGCTGCGCCTGACGCCCGGAGCTCGTCGCATCACGCGCCCTCCTTCCGCCCGTCGCCGTCACCCCAGCCCTCGCCCCTCCCTTCTGTGACCCTCAGCTTGGTTCCCGGAGTCCAGAGCCTCTCACGGCTTGTCTCCCTCCCTGATTTCTCCCCCTTCAGCCTTCCCTCCTTCCCTGCGGTCCTCTGCTCTGTTCCTTATGTTCCATCTGTGAGTGACACCGGAGCGGACTTGCTCTCGGCCCGGCTGGCTTCACTCCGCACAGCCCCGTCCAGTCCCGTCCACGGTGGTGCAAAAGCTGGGTGTTCGTCCTTTCTGATGGCCGAGGAATAGCCGCTTGTACGGAGGGACAACTTCTGTACCCGCTCCTTCCTTCTGTCCGAGCGAATCCAACCGCAGGTCAAGGCAGACGGTTTCCTAGGAGAAAGGGCGACCCCGTGCGGCAGTTTTAAAATATGACCGTGAACTTTGCGGCATTTCTTTTTTTTTTTTTAACTGATGCTGCAGTTTTATCTATTTTTAAGGATTTCATTTATTTATTTGAGAGAAATAGAAACAGCGACAGAGATAGCAAGAGAGCACAAGCAGGGGGAGCCGCAGAGGGAGGGGGAAAGCAGGCTGCCCACTGAGCAGGGGGCCCGGGACCCTGGGATCCGGACCCCAGCCAAAGGCAGACACTTAACCTGCCCGGCCCCATCCAGCGGGATTACTCTGGCTTTTTAAGTACGTTTTGAAATCAGGAAGTGTGACTTTTCCAGCTTTGTTCTTTCTCGGGATTGTTTTTGCTCTTCAGGGTCCTTTCAGATTCCCTATGAATTTTAGTTCAAGTTTTTGTCTTTTGCATTAAATCGGTAGATCACTTTGGGTAGTCTCGACAGTTTAACAACATTAAGTCCTCCAGTCCACAAACACGGGATTTCCCCTCTAATTTATCTTTGATTTCTTGCACCTCCGTCTTTCATTCCCGTGTATTTTATCCTTTTTGATATAATTGTTCATGGCGCTGTTGTCTCGATTTCCTTTGTAGATTGTTCATTGTTCGTGCACAGAAAAGCAACCAAGTTTTGGTTGTAGACTCTGTATCCTGCTACTTTGCCAAATTTATTAGTTCTAACAGGTGTGTGTGTGTGTGTGTGTGTGTGTGTGTGTGTGTGGTGTAATCATTAGGGTTTTCTGTATATAAGATCTTATCCTTGTGAACAGAGATAATTTTACTTCTTTTTCATTTTGAAGATTTTATTCCTTTATTTCACAGGCAGAGATCACAAGTAGGCAGAGAGGCAGGCAGAGAGGGAGAAACAGGTTCCCTCTGAGCAAAGAGCCCGATGCAGGGCTCAATCCCAGGGCCCTGAGATCACGACCTGAGCCGAAGGCAGAGGTTTTAACCCACTGAACCACCCAGGCGCCCCTTCCTTTTCATTTTGGACGTCTTTTATTTTTCTTATCTAATTGCTTTGCTTGGGACTTCCGGTAGGATGTTGGGTAGAAGTGGCAAAAACAGGCATCCTTATCTTGTTCCTGATCCCAGGGGAAAAGATTTAAGTCTTTTGCCACTGACTATGATGTTGATTGTGAATTTTTCATAATTTTTTTTATGTTGTGAGACTTTCCTTCAATTCCTAGTGTGCTGAGTGTTTTTATCATACAAGGGTTTGGAAAATGTGCAACGCTTTCCTGCATGAGTTGAGATGATGATGAGATTTCCCCCTTTTTTTTCCTAATGTGGTATATCGCACTGATCGATTTTCATCGTGCTGCAACATCCTTGTGTCCCGGGAATAAATCCTCCTTGTATTGTGCATAACCCTTTCACTATGTTGCTGAATTTGGTTTGCTAGTACTTTGTTGAGAATTTCTGCATGAATTTCATAAGGAATATGGGTCTACTTTTCTTTTCTTGTCGTGTCTTCGTCTAGCTTTGATATAAGGGTAATGCTAGTTTTGTAAAATAAGGGAGTGTTCTTTCCTGGTCAGTGTTTTGGGAAAACACTGAGAAGAATCGGTGTCAGTCCTCCTTTAAACGTTTGGTGGAATTCACTGGTGAAGGCTTCAGCCCTGGCTTTCCTTTTTCAGGAGAGTCTCAGTTACTGATTTAATCACCTTCCTCATTATGGGTCTGTTTAGATTTTCTGTTTCTTAGGATTTAATCTTGGTGGGCTTGCTGTTTCTAGGAATTTGTCCACTGAGTCTCTGTTATTCAATCTGTTGACATTTACTTGACCACAGAGCTCTCTTATTTGTAATTTTTTTCCCTGTAGAATCAGTAGTAACGTCCCCACTTTCAGATCCGATTTTAGTGATTTGAGCCTTGCCTCTTTTTTCCTTAGTCCGTCTAGCTAAATGTTTGTCAATTTCACGGACTTTAAAAAAATTCCAGATTGTAATTTAATGTTTAATCTATAAGGTTATTTTTCTAAAATTAAGACTTTATTTTTTAGGGAAGTTTTAAGTTCACAGTGAAACTGAAACAGTGAAACCGAAAGGGGAAGGTACAGACGTTTTCCACAGACACCCCCCACCCCAATCCTTCATGCGAAGAACCTCCTCCCTTCTTATCAGCATTCCCACCGCAGCGTGCCTGATGCCGTCCCACAGCACGTTAGGTTCCTTTCACTTTTTTTTTTTTAACCCTTTTTCCTTTCTCCCTGAGCTTTGATAATTTCCACTGCCTCATGTTCAAGCTCGCTGATTCCCTCTACCCAACGTGCTTCTCCACAGAAACGCATTAGCGAGTCTCTGGGGGCAGAAAGAGCTGTGTGGACGTCAGGAAAATGGGTCTCTGGGAGAAGTGAGAAGGAATGGGGTGTAGACGTGGGGATAGGAGTGTGGGGCCGGGGCAGGCGGGCAGCCAGTGACAAATCCGTGATGCTGGGGCAGGGGGAGGAGTGGAGGGAGGCGGGTAATGCCGTTTCCTTGGAGCAACGTGCAATGCCACTGCTGAGCAGGTCTTCAGTAGGGCCTTGTGGGACGAGCTGGGAGACAGTGAAAGACAGAAGGGTGGGACTGACATCTGGGCTGGCCCTGGGCCAAGGACAGGGAACCCAGTGTGGCCGGGTCAGGGAGATGCAGTGACATCAGGCCCGGACTCAGCCACAAGTGTGGGAATGTAAAATCTTGGGAATTCACATGCCTGTTGTGGGAAGAACCGGGCTTCCCAGAAGACTCGGAGGAAAGCCTGGGCCAGGAGGAAAAGGGGAACTTGGGCACCTTCGGGCTGTGCCGATGGAGAGAGCTCGCTCCTTGCCCGCCCGGGGACAGGACGGGTGCAGCTGAAGACCCGAAACGACGTGGAGGTCTTCGTTCGTTTGTCTGGACTCGGACTTCACGGCACAGCGTGTCCTCTCTGACACAGACCCAGTCCTTCCCGATAGAAATCCTTCTGCGTAGAGTAAAAACTTTATTTATCTGTGTATTTAACATTTATTACCACTGACCAAGTGCAAGCTCTTGAGGAAAGTCATGGAGGAAGGAGGCTCTCGTGCTTTTCCCCAGGAGAGCGAGGCGGTTGGAAAGTAGCCAGGACGCGGGGAGGGACGAACGAGGGGCCGAACGGAGCTCGGGGACCGTGTGTGTTCGCTCCGGCTGGGGAGCAGCCACGGAACCACGGAATGAACGTCCACTCTTCCCCACGTTCCTAATTCTTCCTTGAATTGCTATTCTCTCCTGTTGAGAGAGAAAACACGAACGCCCGACATGGGCGACAACACACAAAAACCATCCCGAGACGCTGAAAGCAGAGGATGTGTTGCAGGCGGTACGGTCTGTCGTCCCCGGAGCCCGCTTTCCTGCGCTGGACCAGCGGCTCTGAAGCCCACTGTGGCGGGGAGGGCGGCGCTGGGCGGAGCGCGGCCGGGCCGGGCGTCTTGAATAGCAGCCGCGCCTCCCTGGGTAAGGTGGGCCTCCGGCTCTCGCGACTGGAGCTCACCCACCAGCACGACAAGGGGACCAGTGGCTCCCTGGGCTGTCCCGTACGTGAGCAGGACTTGTGAAAGGCCGGGCGCACGCCATGCGAGACGCACTGTAGCTATTATTTGTATGATTCTGGAAAGAACACCCGTGAGGTGAATCATACTCTTTGGAATGTGTATTTTCCGCTCATACCACTCCTGGGGTGCATGTCCTCACTAGATTTAAAAGCTTTTAATTACCTCTTGCTTCCCTTTGTCCAGAACTTACCCCTTTCCCAGTTTGACTGGGGCGCCCTCTGGGCTGATGCCTAAGAATTTGATGCCTTGGTCTATCTGCTTCCTGTGAAATCTAGTCAGTCCCTTTTGGGATCCCTTTCTCACTTTCTTAGGGTTCTGGGACAGTGACACAGGCCACAGGGGATCCCACAAGGGTTGCGGATTTATGGGAGGGGTGGCACTGTTTTCTGTTCTGTTGGTGATAACTTTGTCGACAATTGTCAGTGTTTCATCAACTTCTGGGCAACAGAGGCAGTTTGAGTCACAACCTGAAGGCACGGGTACGTGGTATTCTCCAGGAAGGGTTCACTATTCTGCGAGGGCTCAGTCTGCGGTCCGGAAAGAGGATACAATCTAGGGAGCTCGCAGTTAACTGGACTGGCGGGTATGATTACCACCCCCTGCGCCCGAAATACAGCAGATGCTGTTTCTTGATCTTGTTTTCCCATCGCTTCCTTTTCTGGGAATTGTCTTGGGGGACTATTTAATGTTCTAGGAACACGGTTTAGGAAATACCGTTGATGGTAAGTTCTAGGTTGGACTGATCTCCTAAATCCATTTATTCTAGGAATGATCGTCTCCTGAGGGCACGGTCCTGCCGTTCGGAAGCACCTTCATGGCTCTCGTTATCATTCAGACTCTGGGGCAGCTGGGAGGAAGGCGCTCTGTCCCTCAGCCCATCGCCCCAGGGGGACACTCCCGAAGGCATCTGTACTGAGCCAGAAAGAACAGCGAGTGACAGATCGGGGACAAAAAATACCTCCGTTGCATCCTTTACCTGATTTCACCCAATGATACTGTATTACTGAATATGTAAACCAACAACGTATAAAACAGCCTGGGGCTGTTTTCAGGAGCTAAGGTCTCGAGTTTCTCCCCTCAGTGGGCTTTTAGACGTAAGTTCGGACAGGCTTTTCCAAGCGGGTACCCATTTCCCAGCCCTTCCTGTTGAGGCACGCCCGCCCGGAGGAGGGATGTGAAATCGTAAATATTACCGTATAACTTCTGGATTCCTTCGATGTCATCTGGTGAAAGTCTGAAATTCTTGGACTCTCCCACTCTGTAGGTTGGATACATGACGGCATTGGGATCAGACGAGTGACCGAGGCCCAAAGAATGGCCAAGTTCGTGGGTCGCGGTGACCAGGAAGTTAACTCCTGCAACCCAAGAGTGACACGCAGGAACCGTTAAAGCAGCCCCGTGAACAACATCACACGTGACATGCGAGGGAAAACGAGACAACCGCAGGAACGCACACCTCTTCAGAGCCTTTGCCGTTCACCTCCTTGAGTCTAGGCCCCACGAGTGGAGGGCTGAGAAGGAGCCTCAAAGCGTAGTGCTTTGATCTCATCACCCCGTCTGCTTTTACAAAAACGTGCTGTTTTTCCAAGGTCATTCCCCCAGACAGCCGTCTTCTGGAGTGGAAAGCAGAGGCTTCAGAGGCATTAGGGACCCAGGCTCAAGGCCCAGCTCTCTGCTTACTAGCTGGATACTTGGGACACACGACCTGACCTCCCGAGTCTTGGTTCCTCGTGTTAATCAGAGAAAATCGCTCCCACTGTGTAGGTCTGTCATATTCCCGAGAGCTTCCCAGTATCTGGAAAATAATGGCTATTCACAGACAGTGACTTTGAGCATGAGGAGAGAGACAATCGGTCTTGAGGAAACCAGGACAGCAAGGCAGGGTCTCCTGGCAACGCCAGGTTTGGTTTCTGATTGACTGAATCGTCTTCCCTCGGATTCACAGATGGGCTGTGCTAGGAAGGCAGAAGGCAAGAGCCTGGGAGTTAGCAGGGTGGCCAGAGCTCTGACAGTGGGCAGACACCAGAGACCCTCTGTGAGCCCACCCGGAGAGGGAAGAAAGCGGAACCAGCAGGACACGCAGGATGTGGGAGCCAGCCCTGGTCACCACCTCACAAGGCTCCGAGCTGACAGCAGACAATGCGGTGGTGGTGACTTCCCACGACCAGACACTCCTACGGATCTCCGGCTCAGGGGCAGGGAGCAGCCACGTTATCTTATCTAATTAACTGACTGTTAGAACCTCCTCCACTTAGCGGTATTTAGACCAGAGCTTTCTTCTGTTAGTTTTCGGGGGATTCTGTAATCTCCCACTTTGCAGGGTGACAAAGATGGTGCCTGGCTTCCTTTTGAACAACAGAGAATGGCCTGAGACTTGTGCACAATTCTTAAATATCATAGTCTCTGCTCCTCCTCCTCCTCCTCCAGTAAAAAATCTTACTTTTGGGAACTGGAAAGACCTCTGATTGATCGCATGACCATGCGATCCCAACACTGTAAAGCACTGTGCGCACATTATGTCATTCACTTCCCACCACAATCCCAGGAGGAGGGAACGACGGTCCCACTTCATAGACGGAAACCGGCTCAGAGAAGTCATCACTTGACCAAAGACACAGGGCGAGTGGCTGGCGTTGCCACAGCTGGTTGACCCCAGTGTGGTTTGAGCCCACAACTGCCTTCCATCCTCTGTCTACACAGCACAGTGAGCTCGTGGAATGAAATAACGCGATTAGACGCACACTGTCGTTGGCAGTTAACTATGGGTCAGTAATTACCGTTAATGAAAGCAATTAGCGAATTCACACTGGTCTAGGGGTTTGGATCTCTGACAACACCGTGCAGGGTGGTGATGGGTGCTGGGGAGGGCACATGTGCTGAGCACTGGGTGTTACACGCAACTAGCGCATCCTTGAACACTGTGTCAGAAACGAATTCTGTACTACACAGTGCCTAACTGAACATAATAAAAAGAAATAAAATAAAATGTTAAAACAAAAAAGAAACGACCACGGTGTGGCGGGAGAGGGCGGGCACTGTACCTATCCTGCCGGCCGTCCAGCGCTCGTCCTCGTCGAAGTGCGCGTCCCCTCCCAGCCCCGGCCCGGGCGCGAAGGCGTGGGCCAGGGTGTTTCCCGGTCCGTCAAACGGGTAGTAGTCCCCGTGAGCTGAAAGAGAACGGGGGTCGCCCCTCGTGAGCCAGCCCGCCTCTGGCCGTTTACCTTGCGCTTTGGGAACTACAGCGGCTGCGACGCTCCGCCCGGCGCGGCGCGGGGTCCGTGCGCGGTGCCGGCCACAGGCAGGTTTTCGTTCACAAAACCGCGGCTCAGCCCTGCGCCCCGCACAGACCCAGGGCTTCCTGCCTGCGGGAGCGCAAACGCGGACGGTGTCTGGGAGGACCGGGCGCAGGCGGCCCCGGCGAGTCCCGTTAGAGCTTTCGTCGTGATGCAGACGCTTGTCTGAGTCGGACCCGGCGGGATCCGTCTGAATCCAACGGATTCCACCCATTTCCGGACGGACACGGGCTGCCGGGATCAGGGCTTTCTGGATACGTCCGGGGGCGCTGTCAGTATTGTGGGCGAAGTTCACAGGTCGGCTGAGTCCGCAGCCCCTGGGCGGTCCAACAGAACAGACCCCCAAAGAACACGTGTCTTTAAACGTGCACCTGAAAAGCTAGCAGTCAGCAGCGGCGTGTGTGGGTTTTAGCTCCTTAAATCCCGTGATCCGAAGGCTCTCAGTTTCTCCCCTCTTACCCCCTTGAGGGTGTTGGCAACGGGCCATCGGGGAGAACCCTGAGGGCTTTCGGAAGTTGTAACCCGTGTCTTGGTTTAATGAGGGTGTTAGTCATATTTTGACTGTTCTGTAAATGCACGTGTGTACATATGTATATGTCTACCAGGATTCACGCTACACACAGGGTCAGCAAAGCTTCTCTGTAAAGGACCAGATAATAATTTAGGATTTAGCAGCTCAGCAGTATCTGCCACGATCCCTCAACTCTCCCATGGTAGCCCCAAAGCAGTCGTTGATAACGGGTCGGTGAAGGACCATCCCTGTACTCTGGTAAATATTTATCCACAGAATGCGAACCTGCCCACCAAAAAAAAAAAAAAAAAAAAAAAAAAAAGGATAGAAATTCATGCACAGAAATAGATGGCAGGCCAGGTTTGGCTCACGGGCCAGGTTTGGCTCACGGGCCAGGTTTAGCTCACGGGCCAGGTTTGGCTCACGGGCCATCATTTGGCATCTCTGCTACCAACAGTGGCTCCACGTTAATAAACCACAATACACTATACATCCCCTACATCCTGTGTGGAGCACAGAGGAAGGTCCTGAGCAGAGGAATGTGCTCCCAGGAACACGCAGGGCCGCCCGCAGCGACCTTCCTTCGACCTTCCTTACCTCCTCTTGCAAAGCCAATCATGATGTCTGCCGTCCCCGCTAACACTCTCCGGAAGGCCAGCGGGATCTCCCTGCTCCACAAGGCCAAAGCCTTTGCCACGAGCTGATTGACGGTGACCCGCGGCAGGTCTCGCGTGTACGATATGACCCTGACAGGGAACGAGAGGACAGCGTTTGGCCTCAGGAGGAGGGCCAGGCTGTCTGCCGCGGTGAGCCCCGGGGTGCGCACCTGTAGGTGACGACTTGGGAATTCCACTTCGGCTGGGTTGGGAAGAGGGAGTAGTCGGCGACGTCGGGGACCCCACACCTGGGCTTCTGCATTATTTCCACCAGGCGGGGGGTCAGGACCCCCGTCACGGGCAGGCGGAAAAACGTCTGCATCCGCTTGAGCATGGCTCCGACGCTGTCGGCCTCCCTCGTTTCTGAGTTGGACGGATAAAACCTCCTGAGATAGTCCTGTTGGGGAGAGGGGGATGGTCTGTCACCTTTATTGTCTTCCTTTTAGATCACAGAAGCCTGTGCGTCTTTCCTCAGATCCCTGCGGACTCGAGCCAGGGTGTGAAGGTGGTTGCGTAGCCACGAGGGAAACAGTGTGCATCAGTGGGAGAAAATTCAGTATGGATAAGGACGCATCAGCATTCCATCTCATGAGCCAAACGGTCCCTCCATTTCCCTTTTATCCCATTCAGTGTTTTTTTTAATAAGATTTTTCTTATTTTAAAGAGTTTATTTGAGAGAGTGAGAGCACACAAGCAGGAGGAGAGGCAGAGGGAGAGGGACAAGCAGACTCCCCGCTGATCAGAGAGCCCAAGCAGGACTCGATCCCAGAACCGAGATATCATGACCTGAGCGACAGGTCGACGCTTAACCCACTGAGCCCCCCAGAGGCCCATCTCCCAGTAAATGTTTCGCAGAGAAACGCACGGTACACTTCATAAAGCACAGACTTGCTTGTAACAGCCAAGTGGGAAGGGCACCGGGCGAACCCCAAGAACGCAGCCTGCCCGGAGGCCCCCGGCACCCAGCCACCTCCAAGATCCGCCAGAGGTCTCGCCTCGCTGAGGTGAACAGGTCTGAGGATTCTAGTCTCAGAAAAGGATACTATGAAATTATTTCGTTTACTGTGCATATTCTCCAGGCGAAGACAGCAGAGCTCACGGGGCTGAATGATGTGCCCAGGGCCACATATGAGCTTAGCCGCAGAGCTGGCCCGAGTCCCCTCACTGCCGGTCCCCCGGGCTGCAGGACACAACAGGTCTCCCTGGGGCACCCCCACGTGCCCCTGGATCCTTGGCACTTTCTCAAAGGAGAAAGTTGCAAGGTCACCCTGAGAGGAACTGTATTTGAACTCGTTCTCTTTCCAAAGCCCGTTTCATGGGAACGCTGGAGAGGGCCGTAGAATGCATGATGGTGCTGTTGAGCACGCGTGCCGTGCGCTAGGCCGTAAGGTTACTTGTCCCTGAAATGCTCGGAAATGTGACCTTTGCCCTATTGGTCTCTCTCTTCAGGGTCCCAGGGATTGTGTTTTCTTCAACACAACACTGTTCATCCATACAATTAAGGATCAATCTGTTATTTGAAAACAAGTCATTTTATCTCTTCCTGAGCTCCAGGCTTTACAAAGATGCTCTTTTGGAAGAAATCTTTTTATATTCTTGATGTAAATTCTCCTGCCTCTGTTAAACCCAGCTAACGTCTCCCTGGTTTATTGGCAACATGTGCAGGAAGTAACGGGACTCAGCGCGCTTGCAAATGTGCCCCTTTTGGAGAACCCATTAGATTGGACTTTATGAAATTGCTGTTTTGTAGGTTAAAAAAAATCAAATATCAGTAATCCCATATGGTTCAATCTAACAGATTACTGGGACTTTTTCAAAGTCTGAGTTAATTGAAATAAAAGCAGACTTTTCTTATGCTTAAAGCTTAAGTTTTTGAACAACAGTTAGGAGTCAACAGCCCATTATTTTACCAAATATTCATTACTTATACTTATTAGGTTGCTTAATAAGAAGTCTATTGGAAAGACCATGGCTTTTGAACCAGAAAAACTTGTCCTTGGCTCCTATCACTATCATCATCAAGTATGTGACTCAACATAACTTTGGCATCTTTCTCCCGGGATAGGGCTGAAGTTTCCATGACATAAGATATGTTAAAGCACTTTAAGTCTATGATTTTCACATACATAGAAGTTGGCACTGTCACCTCCTTATTCAGGAGAAGAATCCTGTGAGCTGTGAATCGCACAGTATCACTGTCCCCATTGGGCAAAATCAGAACTTCATACCTGCCCATGGTCCCCACCGGCTGGGCATGGGCCCCCAGGAATCTCTACCGTGTTTTCTGATTTCAAGCCTCTCCATTACCAGGAGTCCCCACCTCAATGGCAACACGCAGCTCTCTGTGGAAAGAATCTCGAGTCATGATAAATAACAACATTAACAACCTCAATTTGTTGAGCAGGAACCCTGCTTTGGCTTCCGAGTAAGTCCCCACAGCATCCCATGTCATCTCCAACTTCCAGTCGGAACATGGACGCTCAGAGGGGGTGAGATCACCCCCACATTTGTCTATATAGCGAAGGCAGGAGGAGCTGCGACGCAAACCCAGTCTGGGCAGGCTCTGAAGTTGCTCTGTTTTTTTTTGTTGTTGTTGTTGATTTTTTAGAGATTTTATTTGTTTATTTGTCAGAGCGTGAGCGAGCGAGAGAGAGTGCAGTCCGGGGGAAATGGCAGGGGGAGAGGGAGAAGCGGACTCACCGCTAGCTAGTGAGGAGCCTGATGCCAGACTCAATCCCAGGACCCCAGGATCATGCCCTGAGGGCAGACACTTAACAACGGAGCCACCAAGGCGACCCCCCCTTTTTTTTAAGAGAGAGAGAGAGAGAATGTGTGCAGTTGTGCACAGAAGGAGAGAGAGAATATCAAGCAGACTTCCCATGGAGCATGGAGCCCGACGCCGGGCTGGATCTCATGACCCTGAGATCATGACCGGAGCTAAAACCAAGAGTCAGTCGCTTAACTGACGGAGCCCCCCATCAGCCTGCTCGATTAAACATGCATATGGTCAGAAAAACTACCCACATTGAAAATCACACTTCCTCATGCTGACGGTGAGACAGGGAGCCCCCACCCCAGGGGACCGGGCCAGGGACGTACCTGAGCCTGTCTCCACTGTGGCTCACTCATGCCCCCTGCCTCCCGGGGGAGCGGCAAGGCCAGCCCGCTGTGCAGCAGACACAGGGCACATAGCACGGTCAGCCGCATGGCTGCTGTCCCCAATGTCTCCTCTGGACGGACGGCAGATCGGCTGAGTCCCGCCGGACGCTGGGGACATTTATATAGCTTCTCAGCCCTGCGTGTGGAAACAGGTGACTCACTGAACTGTTTTCTTTCTTTTTAATGTCTACAGAACCTTGGAAGTGAGTGTTATTTTTCATTAACAGCAACAAGGAAGTTTTATGCCCTTACTGGCAGGAAGCACACAAGGTATTTGCCTCTCAAGGTATTTTTTTTTCCCACCCTGTTTGCTGTATAAATTTAACTCATTTTATTTGCCAGAATCAAACTGCTACTCAGACAAGCCTTTG